GTTAATGTAGCTTAATCCCCTAAAGCAAAGCACTGAAAATGCTCAGATGGACACTCTAGTCCCATAAACACAAAGGCTTGGTCCTGGCCTTGTAGTTAATTCTGGGTAGGTTTACACATGCAAATCTCCCTGAACCTGTGCCTAATTCCTTAAAATTGCTTTAAAATCTAAGGTAATAGTATCAAGCACATATCTCTATAGCTAAAGACACTTAGCCTAGCCACACCCCCACGGGATTCAGCAGTGATAAAAATTTAGCAATTAACGAAAGTTTGACTAAGCTATACCCTAAAGAGTTGGTAAATTTCGTGCCAGCCACCGCGGTCATACGATTAACTCAAATTAACTACCTCTCGGCGTAAAACGTGTTACTTTAATTCTAAATAGAATTGAAACCCAACAAATGCGTAGAAGTTTATCGTTAGGACCTAAACCCATTCACGAAGGTAATTCTAATAAGTACATACACGATAGCTAAGACCCAAACTGGGATTAGATACCCCACTATGCTTAGCCCTAAACATAAATAATTCCCTAACAAAATTATTTGCCAGAGAACTACTAGCCATCGCTTAAAACTCAAAGGACTTGGCGGTGCTTTATATCCATCTAGAGGAGCCTGTTCTATAATCGATAAACCCCGTTCTACCTTACCAACTCTTGCTAAATCAGCTTATATACCGCCATCTTCAGTAAACCCTAAAAAGGAACTAAAGTAAGCGAAAGAACAAACATAAAGACGTTAGGTCAAGGTGCAGCTTATGAGTTGGAAAGCAATGGGCTACATTTTCTTAAAAAGAACATTACGATATCTTTTATGAAATATAAAAGACCAAGGAGGATTTAGTAGTAAATTAAGAATAGAGTGCTTAATTGAATTGAGCCATGAAGCACGTACACACCGCCCGTCGCCCTCTTCAAGTAAATAATAAGAATAAATACATAATTGATTATACACATTATAATGAGAAGAGGTAAGTCGTAACAAGGTAAGCATACTGGAAAGTGTGCTTGGATCAACCAAAGTGTAGCTTAATAAAAGCATCTGGCTTACACCCGGAAGAATTCACCATTATGAACACTTTGAGCCAAACCTAGCCCTATCAAGAAAAAAAAATAATGATATTTACTTCATAAATCAAATCATTCAATCTAATTAAAGTATTAGAGAAAGAAATTCTTTTTTTAGAAGCTATAGAAGAAGTACCGCAAGGGAAAGATGAAAGAACTAGTTCATAGTAAAAATAAGCAAAGATTTCACCTTGTACCTTTTGCATTATGAGTCAATTAGAACCCTAACTAGCTAAGAGAACTTCAGCTAGAGCCCCCGAAACCAAACGAGCTACCCTAAAGCAACTTTATGAGTTAACCCGTCCATGTGGCAAAATGGTGGGAAGATTTTAAGGTAGAGGTGAAAAGCCTAACGAGCTTGGTGATAGCTGGTTACCCAATCAATGAATTTTAGTTCAACTTTAAGTCTGCCACAAGAATTTATAATCCTTATGCAAACTTAAAATATAGCCTAAAAAGGTACAGCTTTTTAGGCACAGGATACAGCCTTTAATAGTGAATAACTAATATATTAACAAACCATAGTTGGCCTAAAAGCAGCCACCAATAAAGAAAGCGTTTAAGCTCAAAAAATAAAATTATCTGAATTCCAAAAACAAAATACATTTCCTATAATTCTGATTGGGTCAATCTATAAATCTATAGATGAGACAATGTTGACACGAGTAACAAGAAAATTTCTCCAAGCACAAGTGTATAACAACCCGGATGCCCATTGTTAGTTAAGTCAATCATAGAATAAATTCTCATAATTAAACAATCTAAAACCTCAAAATGTTAATCCGACACAGGAGTGCCACTTAAAGGAAAGATACAAAGAAATAAAAGGAACTAGGCAAACAAAAACCCCGCCTGTTTACCAAAAACATCACCTCTAGCATCACAAGTATTAGAGGCAATGCCTGCCCAGTGACTAAGGTTAAACGGCCGCGGTATTCTGACCGTGCAAAGGTAGCATAATCACTTGTTCCTTAATTAGGGACTAGAATGAACGGCTAAACGAGGGTTTAACTGTCTCTTATTTCCTATCAGTGAAACTGACCTTCCCGTGAAGAGGCGGGAATACTAAAACTAGACGAGAAGACCCTATGGAGCTTTAATTTATTAATTTAATTTCAACAATACATAACCTAATGGGATAAAAACTGAAAACTAAGTTAACAATTTAGGTTGGGGTGACCTCGGAGAATAAAATAACCTCCGAAAGATTATAATTAAGACTGACGGGTCAAAATAGAACATCTATCACAATCGACCCATTAATAATGATCGACGAACCAAGTTACCCTAGGGATAACAGCGCAATCCTATTTAAGAGTTCATATCGAAAATGGGGTTTACGACCTCGATGTTGGATCAGGATATCCCAATGGTGCAGCAGCTATTAATGGTTCGTTTGTTCAACGATTAAAATCCTACGTGATCTGAGTTCAGACCGGAGTAATCCAGGTCGGTTTCTATCTATTCAACAATTTCTCCTAGTACGAAAGGACAAGAGAAATGGAGCCAACTATAAATTAGAGCTCTAAGACTAATAAATGAATTCATCTAAATTTAATAGTTAAGTCAAATGCTACATCTAGACAAGATGATTAGAGTGGCAGAATCAGGCTAATGCATAAGACTTAAAACCTTATCTATAGAGGTTCAAACCCTCTCTCTAATAGTGCATCTAATTAACATTTTCTTATTTCTCGTTCCCATTCTTATCGCCATAGCATTTCTCACACTAGTAGAACGAAAAATTCTAGGCTACATACAATTCCGAAAAGGACCTAACATCGTAGGACCCTACGGCATATTTCAACCATTCGCAGATGCCATAAAACTATTTACAAAAGAACCACTACGACCATCTTCAACATCCATCTTTTTATTCTTAATTGCACCTACACTTTCTTTAACATTAGCTTTAAGCCTATGAATCCCTCTGCCTCTACCTTTCCCACTTATCAACCTAAACCTAGGCATACTTTTTATTCTTGCCTTATCCAGCTTCTCAGTTTACTCAATCCTATGATCAGGCTGAGCCTCAAATTCAAAGTATTCCCTTTTTGGGGCCCTACGAGCAGTTGCTCAAACTATCTCTTACGAAGTCACTATAGCTATTATTCTACTTTCTGCCTTCCTAATAAGTGGCTCCCTCTCCCTCCAAAATTTAATTACCACACAAGAAGCAATATGGTTAATCTTTCCAGCATGACCGATGGCCATAATATGATTTATTTCAACCCTAGCAGAAACAAACCGAAGTCCATTCGATCTAACAGAAGGTGAATCAGAATTAGTTTCAGGGTTTAACGTCGAATATGCCGCAGGCCCATTTGCCCTATTTTTCATAGCCGAGTATACTAATATCATCCTAATAAATGCTATCTCATCAATTGTATTTCTAGGACCACTAGAACACTTAGAATCACTAGAAATCTTCACCATTGACTTTATACTTAAAACTCTATTCCTAACTATACTATTCCTATGAATTCGAGCATCCTACCCCCGATTTCGCTACGACCAACTCATGCACCTGCTATGAAAAAACTTTTTACCTCTTACCTTAGCACTATGCACATGATATGTTTCAATACTAATTTTCATAGCAAGCATCCCACCTCACACATAGAAATATGTCTGACAAAAGAGTTACTTTGATAGAGTAAATGATAGAGGTCTAAGCCCTCTTATTTCTAGAGTTACAGGAATTGAACCTGTACTTAGGAATTCAAAGTTCCTTGTGCTACCTATTACACCACACCCTATCAACTATATCAGTAAGGTCAGCTAGCAAAGCTATCGGGCCCATACCCCGAAAACGATGGTTTAAACCCTTCCCCTACTAAATAAACCTATACACGCTTATTATTATTTATTTTACCCTATTTTTTGGTCCCATAATTACTATAACCAGCTCTAATCTTATACTCATGTGAATTGGCCTAGAAATAAGCCTACTCTCAATTATCCCCTTATTAGTTAACAAAAACAACCCACGATCAATCGAAGCAGCAACTAAATACTTTATTACACAAGCCACAGCCTCCATAATTTTCCTTCTAGCAATTTCCTCTAACTTTTACCAACTAGGAATCTGATCATTTCAAGAACAAACTAACAACTTTATCATCATGCTCACAACTATTTCTATGACTATAAAATTAGGTTTAGCACCATTCCACTCATGATTACCCGAAGTAACACAAGGTATCCCACTTCACACAGGATTACTTATTCTTACATGACAAAAAATTGCTCCCCTGTCTATCCTCTTTCAAATCCATGAACTTCTCAACATCAAGCTTACCACTACAATAGCAATTATCTCAATTATCGCAGGAGCGTGAGGAGGCCTCAATCAGACCCAAACGCGAAAAATTTTAGCATACTCATCTATTGCCCACATAGGATGAATAATTGCAATTCTTCCTTATAACCCATACATAACAATTTTTAACTTCTCTATCTATGTTCTTCTTACTTTCTCATTATTCATTATATTCATATCATACTCCCTCACATCTATTAACCTAGCATCACTCACATGAAACAAAATTCCCACAATATTATTTATTTTTCCTACAACCCTTCTATCCCTAGGGGGCTTGCCCCCACTAACAGGCTTCCTACCAAAATGATTAATCATAACTGAACTATTAAAAAATAATAGTATTATTTTAACAACATTATTAGCCATAACTGCACTACTAAACCTATTTTTTTATACACGACTAATTTATTCTACAACTCTTACCATCTTTCCCACAAACAATAACTCTAAAATAATTTATCACCAAACAAATCCTAAAACTAATATTATATTACCTATTACTACTACTATAAGCACACTACTACTTCCTTTAACACCCTTATTAATAGTTTAAGAAGTTTAGGATATAAAGTCCAAGAGCCTTCAAAGCTCTAAGAAAACATAAAGTTTAACTTCTGAGTAAGGGCTGTAAGATTTCATCTTACATCTATTGAATGCAAATCAATCACTTTAATTAAGCTAAGCCCCCCCCCCCAAACTGGCAGGATTAAATACCCACGAAAATTTAGTTAACAGCTAAATACCCTATTTCTGGCTTCAGTCTACTTCTCCCGCCTTAAAGAAAGGGGGCGGGAGAAGCCTCAGTAGAATTATTATCTACACCTTTGAATTTGCAATTCAATATGATTATCACCTTAAGGCTTGGCAATAAGAGGGCTAGAACCTCTGTACTTAGATTTACAGTCTAATGCTTACTCAGCCATATTACCTATGTTCATCAACCGTTGACTATTTTCAACAAATCACAAAGACATCGGAACTCTATACCTCATTTTTGGAGCCTGAGCAGGAATAGCAGGAACAGCCCTAAGCATTCTTATTCGAACAGAATTAGGCCAACCCGGCTCTCTACTAGGAGACGACCAGATCTATAATGTGGTTGTAACTGCCCATGCCTTCGTCATAATTTTCTTCATGGTAATACCAATAATGATTGGGGGTTTCGGAAACTGACTTGTTCCATTAATAATTGGCGCTCCAGATATAGCCTTTCCACGAATAAATAACATAAGCTTCTGACTCCTTCCCCCCTCATTTCTTCTTCTACTTGCATCATCTATAGTGGAAGCCGGGGCCGGAACAGGTTGAACAGTATATCCACCCCTAGCCGGAAACTTAGCCCATGCAGGAGCATCAGTAGACCTTACAATTTTCTCCCTCCACTTAGCTGGGGTATCATCAATCCTAGGAGCAATTAATTTTATTACCACTATCATCAATATAAAACCACCAGCCATAACACAATATCAGACACCACTATTTGTGTGATCTGTACTAATTACAGCCGTACTGCTTCTTCTCTCCCTCCCTGTCCTAGCTGCAGGCATCACTATACTTCTAACAGATCGAAACTTAAATACAACCTTCTTTGATCCTGCTGGAGGAGGTGATCCAATCCTCTATCAACACCTATTCTGATTCTTCGGACACCCCGAAGTCTATATCCTCATCCTACCAGGATTCGGCATTATCTCACACGTTGTTACATACTACTCAGGAAAAAAAGAACCATTCGGCTACATAGGAATAGTATGAGCTATAATATCAATTGGATTCCTAGGCTTTATCGTGTGAGCACATCACATATTCACAGTAGGACTTGATGTGGATACCCGAGCTTACTTCACATCTGCCACTATAATTATTGCTATCCCAACCGGGGTTAAAATCTTCAGCTGATTAGCCACACTACATGGAGGAAATATCAAATGATCTCCAGCTATACTATGAGCACTGGGGTTTATTTTCCTATTTACTGTAGGAGGACTAACAGGAATTGTCTTATCTAACTCCTCCTTAGATATTGTACTTCATGATACATATTATGTAGTAGCTCATTTCCACTATGTACTATCGATAGGGGCTGTATTCGCTATCATAGCCGGATTCATTCATTGATTCCCCCTATTCTCCGGCTACACTCTAAACGATACCTGAGCAAAAATCCATTTTACTATTATATTTGTAGGAGTTAATATAACATTTTTTCCACAACATTTTTTAGGTCTTTCAGGAATACCCCGACGATACTCAGACTACCCAGATGCCTATACTACATGAAATATGGTATCCTCCATAGGATCTTTCATCTCCTTAACAGCAGTCCTAGTTATAATTTTTATTATCTGAGAGGCTCTAGCTTCAAAACGAGAAGTAATCTCAATTCCATACTCTTCTACAAATTTAGAGTGACTACACGGCTGCCCTCCACCATATCATACATTTGAAGAACCCACATTTGTAAAAGTAAAATAAGAAAGGAAGGATTCGAACCCCCTAAAACTGATTTCAAGTCAGCCTCATAACCTTTATGTCTTTCTCAATAAGATATTAGTAAAGTTAATTACATGACTTTGTCAAAGTCAAATCATAGGCCAAAACCTATATATCTTGAATGGCATACCCATTCCAACTAGGCCTACAAGATGCTTCCTCTCCTATCATAGAAGAACTCATAAACTTCCATGACCACACACTAATAATTGTATTCCTTATTAGCTCTTTAGTGCTCTACTTAATCTCACTAATACTAACTACAAAACTCATTCACACAAGCACAATAGATGCCCAAGAAGTAGAGACTATCTGAACAATTCTGCCAGCCATTATCCTAATCCTAATTGCCCTCCCCTCCCTACGTATTCTATATATAATAGACGAGATCAATAATCCCGTTTTAACAGTAAAAACTATAGGACATCAATGATATTGAAGCTACGAGTATACCGATTACGAAGATCTTTGCTTCGATTCGTACATAATTCCAACCAACGAGCTTAAACCAGGAGAACTTCGCCTTCTAGAAGTCGACAACCGAATTATTCTACCAATAGAACTTCCCATCCGTATATTGATTTCATCAGAAGATGTTCTACATTCATGAGCCATCCCCTCTTTAGGGTTAAAAACAGATGCCATCCCAGGACGACTCAATCAAGCTACAATTTCATCTAATCGCCCTGGTGTATTCTATGGCCAATGCTCAGAAATCTGCGGATCTAATCACAGCTTTATACCCATTGTCCTTGAAATAATTCCACTAAAATTCTTTGAAAATTGATCCACGTCAATAACGTAATAGCATTATGAAGCTTAACGCGTTAACCTTTTAAGTTAAAGTAAGAGAATAAACTTTCTCCATAATGAGTATGCCACAACTAGACACTTCTACATGATTTATTACTATAATTTCCTCAATCATTACTTTATTTATCCTATTTCAACTAAAGATTTCTACTCAAAACTTTCCCCACACACCTTCAATAAAAACGATACAACTTTCAAAAACAAAAAACCCCTGAGAACAAAAATGAACGAAAACTTATTTGCCTCTTTCATTACCCCCACAATAATAGGACTCCCTGTAGTCATTTTAATTATTATATTTCCTTCAATCCTATTTACCCCATCAAACCGCCTAATTAACAATCGCCTCTATACTTTTCAACAATGAGCAATCAAATTAATTACAAAGCAAATAATATTAATTCATTCCCCAAAAGGACAAACCTGATCTCTAATAATTATCTCACTAATCACATTTATTGGCTCCACAAACCTTCTAGGACTTCTACCACACACATTTACTCCAACCACCCAGCTATCCATAAACTTAGCTATAGCTATCCCTCTTTGAATAGGGGCAGTACTAATTGGGTTTCGACATAAACTAAAAGCCTCATTAGCCCACTTTCTACCTCAAGGAACACCTATTCCACTAATTCCTATACTTATTATTATTGAAACTATTAGCCTTTTTATTCAACCTATAGCTCTAGCCGTCCGACTAACAGCCAATATTACTGCAGGTCACCTACTTATACACCTCGTTGGTGGGGCCACCCTAGCACTAACAAGTATTAGCCCACCCACTGCCTCAATCACCTTTATTATCCTAATCCTACTCACAGTACTTGAAATTGCTGTAGCCTTAATTCAAGCCTATGTGTTCACCCTCCTAGTCAGCCTCTACTTACACGACAACACCTAATGACCCACCAAACACACGCATTCCACATAGTAAACCCAAGTCCATGACCCCTAACAGGAGCACTATCCGCCCTACTCCTTACCTCAGGGCTAACAATATGATTTCACTATAACTCTTCCACTTTACTCCTGATTGGACTAGCAACTAATATACTCACTATAATCCAATGATGACGAGATATCATCCGTGAAGGAACCTTCCAAGGCCACCACACCCCAATTGTTCAAAAAGGTCTTCGATACGGAATAATCTTATTTATTGTATCAGAGGTATTCTTCTTTTCCGGATTTTTCTGAGCATTCTACCACTCTAGTCTAGTCCCTACACATGACCTAGGAGGATGTTGACCCCCCACAGGAATTATTCCACTAAACCCATTAGAAGTGCCCCTACTAAATACATCTGTACTTCTAGCATCCGGAGTATCCATTACATGAGCCCATCACAGCCTTATAGAAGGGAAACGAAGCAATATAAACCAAGCCCTTTTAATTACAATTATTCTAGGGCTTTACTTCACTGCCTTACAAGCATCAGAATATATAGAAACCTCTTTCTCTATCTCAGACAGCATCTATGGCTCAACATTCTTTATAGCAACAGGCTTCCACGGACTTCATGTAATTATTGGGTCGACTTTCCTTATTGTATGTCTTCTCCGACAGCTGAAATTCCACTTTACATCAAAACACCATTTCGGATTTGAAGCAGCAGCATGATACTGACACTTTGTAGACGTCGTATGACTTTTCCTCTATGTTTCCATTTATTGATGAGGCTCTTGCTCTCTTAGTATATAAGTACAATTGACTTCCAATCAATTAGATCTAGTAGTAAGCCTAGAAGAGAACAATTAACTTAATACTTTCTCTCCTGATTAATATTTTCCTCTCTTCCCTTCTAGTCACCATTGCATTTTTTATCCCACAAATCAACATCTATGCAGAAAAAGTACATGCTTACGAATGTGGGTTTGATCCTATAGGCTCTGCCCGACTACCCTTTTCAATAAAATTCTTTCTAGTAGCAATCACATTTCTTTTATTTGACCTGGAAATTGCCCTCCTGCTACCCCTCCCTTGAGCCATACAATCACAAAACATACACCAGATAATATTTATCTCCTTTTCCCTTCTCACTATTTTATCATTAGGGCTTGCATACGAATGAATACAAAACAGCCTAGAATGAACAGAATAAAATATGGTAATTAGTTTAATAAAAATTAATGATTTCGACTCATTAGATTATGAAAATCTTCATAATTACCAAGGTGACCTTTATCTTTCTCAACTTCACTATAGCGTTTACATTAGCCCTGTTAGGAACTCTCATATTCCGGTCCCACCTAATATCAACCCTACTTTGTATAGAAGGCATAATACTATCCCTGTTCATTATTATCTCTATATCAATCCTAAACTCCAACTCAATAATTTCCTTCCCTATACCTATCATTATTCTAGTCTTCGCTGCATGCGAAGCAGCCGTAGGTCTCGCACTTCTAGTTAAAATTTCAAACATATATGGTACAGACCATGTTCAAAACCTCAACCTACTGCAATGCTAAAAATTATCTTCCCCTCGCTCATATTAATTCCACTAACTTGATTATCAAATAATAAGCTAATATGAATTAATGTTTCCTCACACAGCTTTCTAATTAGCTTAATTAGTTTAACCCTTTTATGACAAAACAATACAACTAGCACCGCCTTTTCACCTATATTCTTCTCTGATGCTACTTCAACCCCCTTAATTATCCTAACAGCATGACTCCTACCACTCATGGTCCTAGCTAGTCAAAATCACCTAAGTAAAGAAAAAAACAACTACAAAAAACTGTATCTCTCCATATTAATCTCACTACAAATTTCTCTTATCATAACCTTTTCTGCTACAGAACTTATCATATTCTATATCCTCTTTGAAACTACTCTAATTCCAACACTCGTTATTATTACACGATGAGGTAACCAAACGGAACGACTAAACGCCGGACTATACTTCTTATTCTACACACTAGCAGGCTCGATCCCGCTATTAGTTGCACTAATCCTAATACAAACTCAAACAGGAACCCTAAATTTCCTCATTATATCACTCAATAATTCCCCACTTAACCTAACATGATCCAATAACATTATATGACTAGCGTGTATAATAGCTTTTCTAATCAAAATACCCCTATACGGTGTTCACTTATGACTACCTAAAGCCCACGTAGAGGCCCCAATCGCAGGATCTATAGTACTAGCAGCAATTCTTCTCAAACTCGGAGGCTATGGAATAATACGGATCTGTATTATGCTAGACCCTATCACAAAATCTCTCTCCTATCCTTTTATTCTCTTATCTTTATGAGGTATAATTATAACTAGCTCAATCTGCCTACGACAAACAGACCTAAAATCACTAATCGCCTACTCCTCAGTCAGCCATATGGCACTAGTAGTCGCATCAATCATAATTCAAACCTCATGAAGTCTTATAGGAGCTATAGCACTTATAATTGCACATGGCTTAACATCATCCCTCCTATTTTGTTTAGCCAACACAAACTACGAACGAACCCATAGCCGAACTATAACTTTAGCTCGAGGACTACAAATTATTTTTCCACTAATAGCCACTTGATGACTTCTAACATGCCTAGCTAATCTAGCACTTCCACCTTCAATCAACTTTATGGGAGAGTTAATGATCATAATATCTTTATTTCACTGATCTAACCCCTCCATTATTCTTACAGGTATAAACATAATAATTACAGCCCTATACTCAATATATATATTGACTATAACCCAACGAGGAAAAATTACAGACCATACTAAGCACCTCCAACCATCCCATACACGAGAACTGACACTAATAGCACTTCACATCTTACCACTTATTCTTCTATCAATAGACCCCAAACTAGTCGCAAACTTCATAGTATGTAGATATAGTTTATCACAAAACATTAGACTGTGAATCTAAAAATAAGAACCTACAAATCTTTATCTACCAAGAAAGTAGACAAGAACTGCTAATTCATGCACCCATGTATAAGACACATGGCTTTCTTGCTTTTATAGGATAGAAGTAATCCGTTGGCCTTAGAATCCAGAAACTCAAAAACATTTGATAAAAGCAATTAACATTTCCCTATCTTCAATACTTCTTATTCTACTTATTCTAACCACCCCAATTCTAATTTCCATAACCAGTCTAATGAAATCTATTAACTTTCCATCCTACGTTACCAAATCTATAAAATACTCATTCTTTCTCAGCTTAATCCCACTAGCACTATTTACCTATTTTAACACAGAATACATAATTATCTCCTGACATTGAATAAATATGGAGTCAATAAAACTAACAGTTAGCTTCAAATTAGACTTGTTTTCTGTATTATTCTTATCTGTAGCTTTATATGTAACCTGATCTATCATAGAGTTCTCCTCCTGATACATACACTCAGATCCAGAACTTAATCGCTTTATCAAATATCTTCTACTATTTTTAATCACTATAATTATTTTAACATCAGCCAATAACCTATTCCAACTCTTCATCGGCTGAGAAGGGGTGGGAATTATATCATTCCTACTTATCAGCTGGTGGTATGGACGAACAGATGCAAACACAGCAGCCTTACAAGCAATACTATATAACCGCATCGGAGATGTAGGCTTAATTATAGCAATGACATGATTATGCTTAAACTCAAACTCCTGGGAAATACAACAGATTTTATCTCTAAAAAACCCCGACACTCTACCACTCTTAGGTATTCTAATTGCCGCCACAGGTAAATCGGCCCAATTTGGACTTCATCCATGGCTGCCATCAGCTATAGAAGGCCCGACACCAGTCTCAGCCCTACTCCATTCCAGCACCATAGTAGTTGCAGGAATCTTCCTACTAATCCGATTCTACCCACTAACTTCAAATAACAACTTTATTTTAACACTAATACTATGCCTAGGCGCTCTTACAACATTATTTACCGCCATCTGTGCACTCACCCAAAATGATATTAAAAAAATTGTAGCATTTTCAACATCAAGTCAACTAGGATTAATAATAGTTACCCTAGGAATTAATCAACCATTCCTAGCTTTTCTCCATATTTGCAACCATGCTTTCTTCAAAGCTATACTATTTATGTGTTCAGGATCAATTATTCACAGCTTAAATGATGAACAAGACATTCGAAAAATAGGCAACACCATAAACTTACTCCCTTTCACTTCATCTTGCCTAGTCATTGGAAGCCTAGCACTAATCGGAATGCCTTTCCTCACAGGCTTTTATTCAAAAGATGCAATCATCGAATCCATAAACTCGTCTTATACCAACGCCTGAGCCCTCTTAATTACACTAGTCGCCACATCCATAACAGCCATGTACAGCATACGAATTATCTACTTCGTTACAATAACTAAACCACGATTTCCCCCACTAATTACTATCAATGAAAATTTCCCAAACCTTATCAACCCTATCAAACGCCTAGCCCTAGGCAGCATTCTAGCAGGATTTATCATTTTCCACAACCTACCGCCACTCAACATCCAAATCCTCACATTACCATGATACACTAAACTTTCAGCCCTAGCTATTACAATCTTAGGGTTAATTACAGCACTTGAACTTAATAACTTCACTACCCTCCTTTCAAACAAAAAACCATTAGGGTTTTCATCCTTCTCAACTCTATTAGGGTATTTCCCAACAATTGTCCACCGAATTACTCCAATAAAAACACTCAACATGAGCTTCTTCACAGCCACAAACCTCCTAGACCTAGTTTGGCTAGAAAAATCTATTCCTAAATTTATTTCTACCTATACTATCAATGCCTCAAAAATTATAAGCAACCAAAAAGGCCTTATCAAGATTTATTTTCTCTCATTCCTAATCTCACTAATAATTATCCCCATTCTAACCCTAGTCTAACTCTATCGGGTAATCTCAACAATTACAAGCACCCCAACAAACAAAGATCACCCAGCTACAATCATCACTCAAGCAGCACAACTATATAACGCTGCCACCCCAACACCTTCTTCCCCCATTACCCCCATCTCATCAACTGCATAAACCACTCAATTATCCATTCCATAAACCTCCACTCCAATATCATCTATCAAATAACTACCTACTACATAAATAAATATTAGCTCTATAAACAACCCTGAAACTAAATAAATAAAAGTTATCCAATCAGAACTTCAAGTTTCTGGGTACTCTTCAGACGCTATAGCAGTAGTATAACCAAAAACAACTATCATACCCCCTAAATAAATTAGAAAAACAGCTAATCCTAAAAAAGACCCCCCATAACCTAAAACAGTTAAACAACCTAAACAACCACTAGCAACTAAAACTAGCCCCCCATAAATAGGAGACGGCTTCAAAGCCAGCCCAACACAACCCGCCAAAAATAATAAACTTAAAACAAACATATAATTAGTCATTATTCCTACACAGCACTAAACTATGACTAACGGTATGAAAAACCATCGTTGTTATTCAACTATAGGAACTCTAATGATAAATTTACGAAAAAATCACCCACTATTAAAAATAGTTAATCACTCATTTATTGATCTCCCCACTCCCCCCAATATTTCATCCTGATGAAATTTCGGGTCTCTCTTAGGCATCTGTCTCATTATTCAAATCGCTACAGGATTATTTCTAGCCATACACTACACAGCAGACACAACAACAGCATTTTCATCAGTATCCCACATCTGCCGAGACGTAAATTACGGCTGACTTATCCGCTATATACATGCAAATGGAGCCTCAATATTTTTTATCTGCCTATTTATTCATATCGGACGAGGTATTTACTACGGATCTTATATCTTCACAGAAACATGAAACATCGGAGTGATTCTTTTATTTGCTGTAATAGCCACTGCATTTATAGGATATGTACTTCCATGAGGGCAGATATCTTTTTGAGGAGCTACAGTCATCACTAACCTTTTATCAGCGATCCCCTACATTGGACCCACAATTGTAGAGTGAATCTGAGGTGGGTTCTCAGTAGACAAAGCTACACTAACACGATTTTTTGCATTTCATTTTATTTTACCCTTTATTATTACAGCCCTAGTCCTAGTCCATCTTCTATTCCTACACGAGACAGGATCCAACAATCCACTAGGACTTGACTCAAATGCAGACAAAATCCCCTTCCACCCTTACTACACAGTAAAAGACTTCTTAGGGGTAATTCTACTAATCTCTTTCTTCATACTCTTAGTCTTATTTTTTCCAGATCTATTAGGAGACCCAGACAACTATACACCAGCTAACCCACTTAACACCCCACCCCACATTAAACCTGAGTGGTATTTCTTATTCGCTTACGCTATTCTCCGATCTATCCCTAATAAACTAGGAGGCGTACTAGCCTTAGTACTCTCCATCTTAGTCTTAATTTTCCTACCACTAATTCACACCTCTAAACAACGAAGCCTTATGTTCCGACCAATCTCTCAAATACTATACTGAATCTTAATCGCCAACCTTATTATTCTCACATGAATCGGAGGTCAACCAGTAGAAGACCCCTTTATTATTATTGGTCAACTAGCCTCAATCAGCTACTTCTCAATTATTCTAATTCTCCTACCAATTGCAGGAATCATTGAGGACAATCTATTAAAATGATACCTTTGCCTTGATAGTATAAAAATTACTTTGGTCTTGTAAACCAAAAATGAAGAAAATTCTTCTCAAGGCATCAAGAAGGAAGGCTAAACCCCTCCACTGTCAGCACCCAAAGCAGACATTCTAATTAAATTACTTCTTGAGCAGTACATAAATTTATATAGTACACACTACATTTATATGTATATCGTACATTAACCTATTTACCACTAGCATATAAGCAGGTACATTACATTAATGTTTTAATAACAATACTAACATACCAATATACAACCTACAATCACCATGAATATGAACAAAATACAGAACCCACAATTCTCTAAAGATTATTAATGGTCCACGTCCATACCACATTAAGTCAAACTCCTGTATTTCCAAACGGATATCCCCTAGCCCATGGGGTTTATTAGTCTACCATCCTCCGTGAAATCATCAACCCGCCCACTCGTCCCCCTCTCCTCGCTCCGGGCCCATAAAACTTGGGGGTAGCTAATGTGAAACTTTATCAGACATCTGGTTCTTTCTTCAGGGCCATATTAAACCTAACCGTCCACTCGTTCCCCTTAAATAAGACATCTCGATGGTGTGGGTCTAATCAGCCCAGGACCAACATAACTGAGATTAAATACATTTGGTATTTTTTATTTTTCGGATGTATAACCCAACATCGCCGTCGAAGGCGTGGTGTCCCCAGCACTAAGTCAAGAGTTACTAGTTATTCAAGCATGGAAGCATCAACACAGGCAAATCCAGCCACCAGTTTCGTCCATGATTTGGGACAATTTAGTTAATGATATTAAGACATAAAATCTAATCTCACAACCGACATCTTCTTATATAATAAAAATTCTTGACTTAATATACAGTTTCCCCTCTCTACCAGAAACTTTTTCAACTTAGTAGTTTGCTATTTAAATATTTCTTTATAAAAAGATACACATTTACAACTCTAGCTTTAGTTAT